CGCATGAAGAACCGTCCCCATATAAGGGCGTTTGTGAGCCCAGGAAGCTGCGAAATCTGTACCGGTACAAAATGTGAAGCAATGTTACTCGGATCATGGACCGCCCAGCACGATCGTGTTTGCCACAATCCTAGATACCTTGGGACGAGATTCCAGCTCTTTTTGCCTTCAATCGGGCCCGGTGCATGAAGAACCGTCCCCATATAAGGGCGTTTGTGAGCCCGGGAAGCTGCGAAATCCGTACTGGTATAAAATGTGAAGCAATGTTACTCGGATCATGGACCGCCCAGCACGATCGTGTTTGCCACAATCCTAGATACCTTGGGACGAGATTCCAGCTCTTTTTTCCTTCAAACGGGCCTGCCGCATGAAGAACCGTCCCCATATAAGGGCGTTTGTGAGCCCGGGAAGATGTGAAATCCGTACCGGTATAAAATGTGAAGCAATGTTACTCGGATCATGGACCGCCCAGCAAGATCGTGTTTGCCACAATCCTAGATACCTTGGGACGAGATTCCAGCTCTTTTTGCCTTCAATCGGGCCCGGTGCATGAAGAACTGTCCCCATATAAGGGCGTTTGTGAGCCCGGGAAGCTCCGAAATCCGTACCGGTACAAAATGTGAAGCAATGTTACTCGGATCATGGACCGCCCAGCACGATCGTGTTTGCCACAATCCTAGATACCTTGGGACGAGATTCCAGCTCTTTTTGCCTTCAAACGGGCCCGCCGCATGAAGAACCGTCCCCATATAAGGGCGTTTGTGAGCCCGGGAAGCTGCGAAATCCGTACCGGTACAAAATGTGAAGCAATGTTACTCGGATCATGGACTACCCAGCACGATCGTGTTTGCCACAATGCTAGATACCTTGGGACGAGATTCCAGCTCTTTTTGCCTTCAAACGGGCCCGCCGCATGAAGAACCGTCCCCATATAAGGGCATTTGTGAGCCCGGGAAGCTGCGAAATCCGTACCGGTACAAAATGTGAAGCAATGTTACTCGGATCATGGACCGCCCAGCACGATCGTGTTTGCCACAATCCTAGATACCTTGGGACGAGATTCCAGCTCTTTTTGCCTTCAAACGGGCCCGCCGCATGAAGAACCGTCCCCATATAAGGGCGTTTGTGAGCCCGGGAAGCTGCGAAATCCGTACCGGTACAAAATGTGAAGCAATGTTACTCGGATCATGGACCGCCCAGCACGATCGTGTTTGCCACAATCCTAGATACCTTGGGACGAGATTCCAGCTCTTTTTTCCTTCAAACGGGCCTGCATAAGCATGCGTCCAGACACAAGCATGCGTCGGACACAAGCATGCGTCCGGACACAAGCATGCGACCGGACACAAGCATGCGTCCGAACACAAGCATGCGTCCGGACACAAGCATGCATCCGGACACAAGCTTGTGACCAGACGCATGCTTGTGTCCGGACGCATGCTTGTGACCAGACGCATGCTTGTGTCCGGACGCATGCTTGTGTCCGGACGCATGCTTGTGTCCGGACGCATGCTTGTGTCAAAACGCATGCTTGTGTCCGGACGCATGCTTGTGTCTGACGCATGCTTGTGTCCGGACGCATGCTTGTGTCCGACGCATGCTTGTGTCCGGACGCATGCTTGTGTCCGGACGCATGCTTGTGTGCGACGCATGCTTGTGTCTGGACGCATGGTTGTGTCCGGACGCATGCTTGTGCCCGGTCGCATGCTTGTGTCCGGTCGCATGTTTGTGTCTGGACGCATGCTTGTGTTCGGACGCATGCTTGTGTCCGGACGCATGCTTGTGTCCGGACACATGCTTGTGTCTGGACGCATGCTTGTGTCCGGTCGCATGCTTGTGTACGGATGCATGCTTGTGTCCGGTCGCATGCTTGTGTCCGACCACATGCTTGAGTCTGGTCGCATGCTTGTGTCCGGACGCATGCTTGTGTCCGGTCGCATGCTTGTGTCCGGACGCATGCTTGTGTCTGGACGCATGCTTGTGTCCAGACGCATGCTTGCGTCTGGATGCATGCTTGTGTCCGGACGCATGCTTGTGTCCGGACGCATGCTTGTGTCCGGACGCATGCTTGTGTCCGGACGCATGCTTGTGTCCGGTCGCATGCTAGTGTCTGACCGCATGCTTGAGTCCGGTCGCATGCTTGTGCCCGGACGCATGCTTGTGTCCGGACGCATGCTTGTGTCCGGACGCATGCTTGAGTCCGGTCGCATGCTCGTGTCCGGACGCATGCTCGTGTCCGGACGCATGCTTGTGTCCGGACGCATGCTTGAGTCCGGTCGCATGCTTGTGTCCGGACGCATGCTTGTGTCCGGACGCATGCTTGTGCCCGGACGCATGCTTGTGTCTGGACGCATGCTTTTGTCCGTTTGCATGCTTGTGCCCGGTCGCATGCTTGTGTCCGGACGCATGCTTGTGTCCGGTCGCATGCTTCTGTCCGGACGCATGCTTGTGTGCTGCTGCACATAGCCGCTCAGCGCGACTACGAGCTTCACTCTCTCGACTTCAGCACTGCGTTCCTACAGGGTAGCCTGCACGAGGAGATCTGGCTGCGCCGTCCACCTGGCTTCACTGGGACTTTCCCTCCTGGCACCCAGTGGAGCCTCCGACGGCCAGTCTACGGTCTACGCCAGGCACCGCGTGAGTGGCACGACACACTGAGGACTACGCTTGCGGCTCTTGGGTTTGCTCCTTCTACTGCTGACCCGTCGCTGTTTCTGCGCACCGACACTTCTCTGCCGCCGTTCTACATCCTCGTGTACGTCGACGACTTGGTCTTTACCACAGCGGACACTGCTGGACTCGCCTACGTGAAGTCCGAGCTGCTGAAGAGACACACGTGCACAGACCTGGGTGAACTGCGCAGCTACCTTGGCTTGCAGATCACTCGGGACAGAGCACGCCGCACCATTACCTTGACTCAGTCACACATGGTGCAGCAGGTCCTTCAGCGCTTTGGCTTCACGTACTCCTCGCCTCAGGCCACTCCTCTGCCTACTCGCCACTCACTCTCAGCTCTGCCTTCGGATGAGTCCGTAGAGTCGAGTGGTCCGTATGCAGAGCTTGTTGGCTGCCTCATGTACCTGATGACCTGCACACGACCTGACCTTGCATACCCTCTGAGCATTCTTGCACGCTATGTTGCTCCTGGTAGACACCGACCAGAGCACATGGCTGCAGCAAAGAGGGTATTGCGCTACCTGTGCAGTACGTCGGGCATGGGGCTAGTGCTTGGAGGGCGTAGTCCAGTGGTCCTTACAGGCCACGCGGACGCTTCTTGGGCTGACGACCAGGCTACGCAGCGGTCGTCTCAAGGTTACACCTTCAGCCTTGGTTCCGGCTCTGTCTCGTGGCGGTCTACTCGCTCTTCTTCAGTTCTCGGCTCCAGTTGTGAGGCTGAGATCTACGCCGGGGCCATGGCTGCACAGGAGCTTCGCTGGCTCACCTACCTGCTGACTGACTTTGGAGAGCCGCCTCGTTCTCCTCCAGTGCTGTACGTAGACAACAAGGCCATGCTGGCCTTGTGTCGAGAGCAGCGCTTGGAGCACAGAACGAAGCACATTGCTCTCCGCTACTTCCTTGCTCGTGAGTTGCAGCAGCGTGGTCAGTTGCGACTTGCGTACGTGGCCTCAGAGGCCAACACTGCTGATGTGTTCACCAAGGCACTTGCGCCTTGTGACCATCAGCGCTTTTGTACCTAGCTGGGTCTTGTGCCTGTCTTGCCTCACTTGCTCTCTTCTTGACTTTACTTGTACTGTGACATATATATACCTGCTCTTGCTTGTCTTGCTTTATATATATGTCTGTACTCTTGCATGTGAACTGGCCTTTGGCCTTGCTCTTGTGCTCGGACTGTGTGGTGACTTTGTGATCCACCCCGAGCTTGCTTTGCTTTGCTTGACTGGTCTTGTGACCCCTTGTTCTCCCCCACTTTGCCTATGGGGGTGTGTCAGAACATATAGCTTACATGTTTGTGTAGGCTGTAGTGGGGTATCCCATAAGGGGTACAACCCAATTAGGGTTTCCTATTTGTACCCACTTTGTTCATAGTCATTCATGCCAGTTCTTCAAACCTTCACAATACTGCCTAGGGCCCACCACGTACTTCTTTCCTTCTCTGCCCGGAGCGCGCTTACCTCCTAACCCAAGTAGCGCCCCGAGACGCCTTAGTGGCCCCCTTTTGGCCGCCCTTACTGCCCCTCGAGCCGCCCGCTACGGCCCCGTCGGCCCCGCTACGGCCCCGTCGGCCCCGCTTAGGCCTCGCTACGGCCACCGCTACGGCTCCGCTTAGGCCCCGTCGGCCCCGCTTAGGCCCCGTCGGCCCCGCTACGGCCCCGCTACGGCCCCGCTTAGGCCCCGTCGGCCCCGCTACGGCCTCGCTACGGCCCCGCTACGGCCCCGCCGGCCCCGCTTAGGCCCCGCTACGGCCCCGCTTAGGCCCCGTCGGCCCCGCTACGGCCTCGCTACGGCCCTGCTACGGCCCCGTCGGCCCCGCTTAGGCCCCGTCGGCCCCGCTACGGCCCCACTACGGCCCCACTTAGGCCCCGTCGGCCCCGCTACGGCCCCGCTACGGCCCCGTCGGCCCCGCTTAGGCCCCGCTACGGCCCCGTCGGCCCCGCTTAGGCCCCGTCGGCCCCGCTACGGCCCCGCTCAGACCTCGCTTCGACCCCGTCGGCCCCACTTAGGCCCCGCGTCGGCCCCGCTACGGCCCTGTCGGCCCCGCTACGGCCCCTCTTAGGGCGTATCCCTGGGTGGTGGTAGGGCCACTGTAGATGGCAGAGTTGGTGGCATGCGGGAAAACCGCATGTCACCAACATTTTTACCGAGGCGCGCGCGACTCGTATTTGGTGGCATTGAAGTGACATTTTTGGGACATTTCCCAATCACGCACCTGTATTCGCGCGCCAAATTTCCTGACACCAACCTGGCGTTTTTTGTGTTCGTGGCAGGCTGCCATCTACAGTGGCCCTGCCACCACCCAGGGATACGCCCTTAGGCCCCTGCTACGGCCCCGTCCCGTCGCCACAGCGGCCCCGCCCACCCTTGCGGCCAGCCGCCATCTGCGACCCCGCCGCCCAGCGCACGCAGCGCCGAGCAGCTGAGCCGCCCGACCGCCCGAGCCGCCCAGCAGCCGAGCCGCCCGACAACCGAGCCGCCCAGCAGCAGAGCCGCCCGACAGCCGAGCCGCCCAGCACCGTGCAGCCGAGCCGCCCAGCAGCCGAGCCGCCCTGCAACCGAGCCGCCCGACAGCCGAGCCGCCCAGCACCGTGCAGCCGGCCGCCCAGCAGCCGAGCCGCCCAGCAGCCGAGCCGCCCTGCAGCCGAGCCGCCCGACAGCCAAGCCGCCGAGCAGCCCGATCGCCCCACCTGCCTGGTAAAAGCCCAGTCTCTGCCACTGCACTGCCCTGCCTCACTGCCCTCACTGCCTGCCTACTGCTATTATGGCTTCCCCTAGCGTTCTCACTTTTGACGCTGAGGGTCGGGCAGTGGACTTTGAGGTCTGGGTAGATGATCTGCAGCTTTTTCTACAGTGCGATAGGGCAGACGGCCTCTCCCTGTTTGACCTCACTTCTGGTGCCTCCCCTGCCCCTGCTGCTGATGCTGACGCCACTGTTCGCTCACAGTGGGCCACACGTGATGCTGCTGCTCGCCTTGCTGTTCGCCGCCACTTACCGACCACTGAGCGTGCACACTTTAGTCAGTACAAGAGTGCTCAGACCTTGTACGACGCTGTAGTTGCACACTAGTCTTCCCCTGCCACTGCTGCACTGAGCCGCCTCATGCTACCGTTCCTCTTCCCTGACCTTGCTGCCTTTCCCACTATCGCTGACCTCATTACGCACCTCCGCACTCTTGACACTCGCTACCGCGCTGCGCTTCCTGCTGAGTTCTGCGCCAAGAACCCCCCCCCCATGTACATCACCCTCTACTACATAGTCACCCGGCTCCTTGACTCTGTTCGCGTAGTCAGGGACCACTTCCTCTCTGTTTGCCCCACCACTCTCACCGTTGACCTCCTCGAGAAGGCCCTCCTAGCGATAGAGAAGAGCATAGTCACTGTAGGAGCCTCTCGTGGTGACCCTCGCACCCCCCTCTTTGAGGGGAGTTCTCCCTCCCCCCTCTTGCCCTCTGTCGCCTCTGCTGCGGTGGCCGACCTCGTTGGTTTCAAGTCGGTCAGCGCTGCGTCTGCCCCGAGCGGGAGACGTCGCACCAGCAAGGGCAAGGGGGGCAAGGGCACTGGAGGGGGTGGAGGGGGCGGTGGAGGTGGTGGTGGAGGCGGTGGAGGGAGTGGGGGTGGTGGTGGGAGTGGTGCCGGGGGTGGTGGCGGCGGCGGCAGCGGTGGAGGCGGCGGAGGCGGTGGAGGTGGCGGAGGGAGCGGAGGCGGCAGAGGTAGTGGAGGAGGCGGAGGTGGAGGTGGCGGCGGAGGCGCCGGAGGCGGCAGCGGAGGCGGCGGCGGCGGTGGTGGAGCGAGTCGCGACTCTGCGCCGAGGAGTGGCTCCGGTGGTGGTCAGCGCCAGCAGCAGCAGCGCAATGGTGTGACCATGTCCCCTCAGCAGCTTCGTGAGTGGTACACTGCACGCCAGCGCGGTGGGGGTTTTGGTCCCTGCTCCTACGTTCTCCGTACTGGCGACCGCACTGGTGAGCAGTGCGGAGGTCCGCACTCCACCCAGCGCTGCTTTGGTCGCCTGACGGACGCGTGGCGTCGCCAGTTCCCTGAGGCGTCAGAGATCCCTCGCTGGGGAGATCTGGCCAAGGCCGGGGTTGCTATCTTTGATCTTGACTTTGATGCTATTCTTGCTGCCATGTATGCTGTTGCTGATAGTGTTGAGGGTGCCTGTTACCTGTGTGTACCGCATGACCCGGGCATTGAGGCTGCTGCGCTAGGTGCTGGTGAGGCTGCTGCTCTAGGTGCTAGTGCGTCTACTGCCCCAGGTGCCAGTGCGTCTGCCGCCTCAGGTGCTGGTGAGTCTGCTCTCTCAGGTACTACTTCAGCTCAGGCCTTCCACATGTTCACACTGGACTCGGGTGCGTCCCGCTCCTTCTTTCGAGACCGCACAACTCTTACGCCGCTTACTCGGCCAGTTGCAGTCTCCCTAGCACACCCCTCTGGGGGTCCTGTCCTTGCTAGCTTCTCCACTGTCCTTCCGTGCCCTGCAGCCCCCTCTGGCACTCTCTCAGGTCTCTACCTCCCCTCGTTCTCTACGAACTTGGTGAGTGGAGCGGACCTACAGGATCGAGGGGTTGACCAGTTCACTCCTGCGAGTCAGCGAGTGACCCAGTGCACGTGTGCTCGGACAGGCCGACACTTGGCCACGTTCACTCGTCGGCCAGGGTCGAGCCTGTACACCCTTGCTGCTGAGTCTCCTCCTCCTGCTGAGTCTGCCTAGGTAGCTGCGTCGAGTCAGGTGTTTGCTGCAGCGTCCAGGTCTGGTCCTGAGTCTGCCCCCTGCTCGTGTCGTCTGCTGTCCCACCAGACTCTCCTTTGGCACCACCGCCTTTGTCACCCCTCCTTGCCTCGTCTCCGAGGCATGGCCTCCCGTGTCCTTGTCTCGGGTCTTCCTCGGTCTCTCCCTCCCCTTCCTCCTGGGCCTGGCCCTACCTGCGTCCCCTGCGTTGAGGGGCGATAGTGCGCCGCCCCTCACTCCTCCGAGTTTCCTCCGACAGAGGCTCCACTGCAGACTCTCCACATGGACGTGTGGGGCCCAGCCCGCGTCAGTAGGCACAGGCGAGAGCGGTACTTTCTGCTGGTCGTTGACGACTACTCACGTTACACCACAGTCTTCCCCTTGCGCAGAAAGGGTGACATCAGTGAGGTGTTGATTGACTGGATCCGCGCAGCTCGTGTCCACCTCAAAGAGAGTTTCGGCTCCGACTTTCCTGTTCTGCGTCTGCACTCCGACAGAGGCGGGGAGTTTTCCTCTGCCCGTCTGGGAGCCTTCTGTCGTGCACAGGGCATCCGCCAGACCTTCACGCTTCCGGCCTCTCCACAGCAAAATGGGATTGCTGAGCGCCGCATTGGCATGGTCATGGACGTCGCTCGTACGTCCATGATGCATGCGGCTGCCCCCCATTTTCTGTGGCCGTTTGCGGTTCAGTACGCCGCGCATCAGCTCAACCTTCAGCCCCGGGTCTCCTTGCCAGAGACCTCCCCCGCCTTGCAGTGGACAGGGAAGGTTGGCGATGCGTCTGCGTTTCGGGTCTGGGGATCTCGGGCGTTTGCCCGCGACTTGTCTGCGGACAAGCTCTCCCCCCGTGCTGTTCCTTGCGTCTTCCTTACCTTCCCCCCCGACGCGCCTGGCTGGCGGTTTTACCACCCCACCACGCGATGTCTTCTGTCCTCCCAGGACGTCACTTTTGACGAGTCGGTGCCTTACTACGGTCTCTTCCCCTACCACACTGCGCCCCTCCCCCCGCCGCCGCTCTTCCTTGCGCCAGGTGCTACCCAGGTAGACCCCCTCCCCTCTCAGGGTCCTGCCCCTTCAGGTGTGTCCCAGGTAGACGCAGTCGAGCGTGTCGAGGTAGCTGTTGACTCTGGTGCTGCTAGAGGTGCTGAGCCTGCCGGGTCTGCGGGTGCCGGGTCTGGGGGTGCTGAGACTGGGGGTGCTGAGCCTGGGGGTGCTGAGTCTGGGGGTGCTGAGCCTGGGGGTGCGGAGCCTGGGGGTGCTGGGTCTGCTCGTGTGGCCGCCGGCGGTGCTTCGTTGAGGCGGGAGCCGCTCTCTCCACAAGAGCTGCGCAAGTGGTTCGCCCGTCGTTGGAGACGTGCTGCTGAGTCTGGGGGTGCTGCTGGAGCTGCTGGGGGTGTTGGCGCTGGTGTTTCTACTGGTGCTGGTGCGTCTGGGGGTGCTGCTGAGGCAGCTGGTGCTGACGGTCCTACTGGAGTTGGTGTTGCTGGAGCAAGAGCTGCTGGGGGTGTTGGCGCTGGCGGTGCTGCTGGCGCTGGTGCTTCTGAGGGTACTGGAGTTGGTGCTGTTGGAGTTGGAGGTTCTTCTGGCGCTGGTGCTGCTGATGGGGGTACTAGTGCCGTCCCTGCTGGTTCTGGAGGCGCTGAGCAGCCAAGGCCGTACTTCGTTCCGCTCCTGGAGCAGGTTCTTGGTCTCCCACCCTCTCCTGGTCCTGCTCCTCCCTTAGCGTGTCCACAGCCTGTCCAGTCGCAGTCACAGTTATAGCCTGCCTCCCCGCTACCTGCTCCTTCTCCCTACACTGGTCCTACTGGAGGTCTTGCTAAGCGTCGAGAGCCTGTGTCTTGTCCTGCGTCGCCTGTTCGTGCTGCTCACACTAGTCGTCGTGCCACGCGTCCGCGTCCTCCTGCGGTCCCAAGCACACACCAGATGGCACTGTGTCCGTCCACTGCTCCGCAGCGTGTCCCTTTGCCGTCTCCTCCAGAGTCCTCTCTTCCTTCTCTTGCTGACCCGGAGTCCGACTCCCTTCGTGCTGCTAGTCCTTCGGTCACGCGCCTTCTTGCTACTGTTGTCACTGACCCTACCTTTAAGTCCACTGCTGCGTCTGCTCTAGTTGCTGAGCTTGTCGACTTCGCTGCTCGCTGTCGTCTAGACTACGCTGCCAGTCTTGTTGCTGAGTCTGAGTCTGTCTGTCCTCCGTCCGTCGGGGGTGAGTGTGCTCTTAGCATGGAAGTCCTTGAGGACAGGCAGGAGGAGTTCCAGTGCTTTGCGGCTGCTTTGCCCCATCTCGTGTCCACGCTGATTGCCCCTGAGGGAGACCTGGATGCACCAGACATCCCGACTCCTCGATCGTACGCTGAGGCGATCGAGGGTCTCTACTCCTCTCAGTGGCAGTCGGCCATGGACGCAGAGATGGCTTCCTGGAAGTCCACAGGCACCTACGTCGACGAGGTTCCCCCACCTGGGGCGGACATCGTCAGTGGGATGTGGATCTTCAGGGTGAAGCGGACGCCTGGCTCTCTGCCTGTCTTCAAAGCGCGTTACGTGGCTCGAGGCTTCAGTCAGCGGCAGGGAGTTGACTACTTTCAGACCTTCTCTCCCACCCCAAAGATGACCTCTCTTCGGGTGCTGCTGCACATAGCCGCTCAGCGCGACTACGAGCTTCACTCTCTTGACTTCAGCACAGCTTTCCTGCAGGGCAGCCTGCACGAGGAGATCTGGCTGCGCCGCCCTCCTGGCTTCACTGGGTCGTTTCCTCGTGGTACCCAGTGGAGCCTCCGGCGGCCAGTCTACGGTCTCCGCCAGGCACCCCGTGAGTGGCACGACACACTGAGGAATACACTTGCGGCTCTTGGGTTTACTCCTTCTACAGCCAACCCGTCACTGTTTCTACGCACCGAAACCTCTTTGCCGCCGTTCTACATCCTCGTGTACGTCAACGACCTGGTCTTTGCCACTGCTGACACGGCTGGACTCGCCCACGTGAAGTCCGAGCTGCAGAAGAGACACACGTGCACAGACTTGGGTGAACTGCGCAGCTACCTTGGCTTGCAGATCACCCGGGAGAGAGCACAACGCACCATTACCCTGACTCAGTCACACATGGTGCAGCAGGTCCTTCAGCGCTTCGGCTTCACGTACTCCTCGCCTCAGGCCACTCTTCTGTCTACTCGCCACTCGCTCTCAGCTCTGCCTTCGGATGAGTCCGTAGAGCCGAGTGGCCCGTACCCAGAGCTTGTTGGCTGCCTCATGTACTTGATGACCTGCACATGACCTGACCTTGCATACCCTCTTAGCATCTTGGCACGCTATGTTGCTCCTGGGAGACACAGACCAGAGCACATGGCTGCAGCAAAGAGGGTGTTGCGCTACGTGTGAAGTACGTCGGGCATGGGGCTAGTGCTTGGAGGGCGACGTCGAGTAGTCCTCACAGGAAACGCTGACGCTTCTTGGGCTGACGACGAGGCTACGCAGCGATCGTCACAGGGTTACACCTTCAGCCTTGGCTCTGGCTCTGTTTCGTGGCGGTCTACCTGCTCGTCCTCTCTTCTCGGCTCCAGCTGTGAGGCTGAGATCTACGCAGGGGCCATGGCTGCACAGGAGCTACGCTAGCTCACCTACCTTCTGACTGACCTAGGAGAGCCGCCTCGTTCTCCTCCAGTTCTGTACGTAGACAACAAGGCCATGCTGGCCTTGTGTCGGGAGCACAGACTGGAGCACAGAACGAAGCACATTGCTCTCCGCTACTTCCTGTCTCGTGAGCTGCAGCAGCGTGGTCAGCTCCGTCTCACCTACGTGGCCTCTGAGGCACAAATGTATAAGCTATAATGTTATGACACACCCCCATAGGGGTGAAGCCAAGTGTGCCCATACAGGGTATAGCCCATACGGGGTACAACCCAATTAGGGTTAGTACTTGTACCCAACTGTTTCATAGTTCATTCATTCTCACTTCTCTTCACTACAGTGATGGGGACGAATTTCCCAACCCCCAAAAGTCTGTACCCCATATTGAGTCAACCCTACAACTTCCCACAGTTGCCACAATCAAATATGAAAAGCATACGAACTTCAACGTTCGTAACTTTCTTGTTCGTGCTCCGATTGAAGCGATACTTGGTTTGTTGGAAAGCTCTTGAGCAGAGGAGTCACTTCAGATATCTGCTCAAGCCAAATAACATTCACACACACTCAGAAAATCCAAACCACATCAAACACAAATTCTTGCACACGCTCACACCACGCATGCAACGCACTAACATGTGATGGGAGGCAGACAGACGTGAATGCATATGATTGCATCACACAACAAACTCCCCCTCTGGCTGCCAACCATCATCCCACGTGCCATAGCTCAAGCATGCACCCTGAATGCACACTCATTCCAGCAAGTTCCATTCACTTCCAACACTCATCCCAATGGACAATCATCTCCTTCCAACATCCTACTTCCAACATCTCCTCTTTG